TAAATAAACTGTTCTGAACAAGAAGGTGCATGGTTCTCCTAGAAGGTCATATGAATGAGAAACTTAAGAAATCAAAAGACACGTATATATGAGTCACTGCTCTGGAAGCCTTCATTTCTATAAAATTGCCTTTGATTTTTGTTTCATTGGTGATGTACTTTCAAAGACATCTCTTTTCACACTCAACACTAGAATGTGTTAGCAATAATAATATATTACTTGTTGTTACTGAACTTGAATGCAATTAAGAATTACTCCAGAGTAAAAAAGATATTATTATTGAAGACTTGTAGCATTGTAAAACTTATTTTCTCTTGCATTCAATTTAGCATTGCCTGACTAGTTCTACAGACACAGTATGCTGTGAGAGCTTTGCTGGTTGCTTTCCATATCATAAAAGGTTTTAAAATCCCAAAAGTGAACTGTTCACATTTAATGCGCTTCATGCTAGCAACTGAATCTTACCAAACAGGATTCTGCACTAAAGAAAAAAAGTTAAAATTCAGTTGAGCACCATGGATGTTGATGAGCACTGTTTTAGTAAGGACATTTTCTTTTAACGTCTGTTGTGCAGTAAAGCCAACCTGAAATAATAACACAGTGATGTTACAAACAAGGAAAAACAAAGACTGCAAATGAATGGGAAGATTTTCTCTCCTTACACAATCTTTTATGAAATAAATAAATAGCTCCATTATCAGATCAATCTGCTACCTCTCTGTTGCTGTTTGCTGTTCCACCAATTAGTCGAACCTTTCAGTAGAGATCTTACCTCATTGCAGCTATGCTCTACGCTGATTAACAGTCCCAGCTTTCAAACTTTTGGGAGCAGAAAAGTAATTTATTGCTACCTGCTGTTCAAACTACCATTTAAAAGCTTACCTTGTGACATGGAGTAGCTTGATTCTCCAGTCAGTGAATTATCTGCGCTGGCTCAAGAAAAGCTATGCTCCTGCTTATGTTTTCTGATGCTTTTCCTCTGTTGTTGTACACCTGATTCTCATACTAACTTAATTATTCCTGTCTGTGTAGAGCCAGTAGCTGTTGCTCTCATTTATCACAGAACTTACTTAGCTCACAGATACTGTAATATGTTTGTCCCTAAAAAAAAAAGAGAAGAAAAAAAATGCAGCTTAAGAGCAGAAAGGAAGCAGTTCTAAGATGTTACAGAAGCAGTTTTTTTCCACATAGACCCATATTTGAAAATCACTAAAAATAAACTATTAAATTTATCCAAAATTATTCATTAACATTTACTCTATTTGACATTTTAAGAGTATAATTTATAAATATTATACAAAATTAAGATAATAGACAAAGTACATTCTATAACACAGTTCTTTGTCCTTCTTCATGTTAAAAATAACAATGTTTCTTTAATATTCATTTTAAATAAAACAAACCTTCTGAAGCTGTACCTGCTGTATCTAGGGGTGATGCAATTGCAAATAAGCTGCCATGATTCAGTACTTGAAGAATACATAGCCATCTTTTACATGTTTGTTATGGCATGGTAAATGACCTGCTGCCTGTATTTAAAACTCACTTGAGGAATGATAAAATCAGATCTCAGTATTTATGTTCAGCTTGGCTTTTCACTACTCTGCAAGAAAAGTTGAGATGATCTTGCATTTTTTTTCAGAATGGAACATTAGAAACAGTTTATAAAGAGAAATCTTTTATGATCTCCTTATCCTATGCTTATCCTATGCTTAGAGAGAAAAGTCTGTCTCTGTCATAGCTCTGGAAAACAAGAAATGTGAGACAGGATTTACCAGGTGGGCTGATTCTATTGGACAGAAGTTCATTCTTCTCCTACCAGCTAGTGGAAATAGAAATGAGGAAATGCTACATTAGGAGAATCATTTAATGAAGCTGAGTGATCTTAATTTTTGTTTTTGTGGTGGGGATTGTTGTCTTCCACAGTTGGCAGGCGCTCTTGAAGGTAAGTTCTAGTTTGCATAGGGGAGAAGGTAAAGTGTTAGGAGGAGATTTTAAGATACTCTGTTGCAGCAAGTATTACTTTGAAGGATTAATGGCCTAAATAAAACACAGTTTTCATGACTAGACAGTCATCTGTCCTGTACATTTTAATCATTTTCTGCTTTTCTGCCATTTTCAACTTTGAGTTATTTTTTCTCTACTTAATTGACATTTGAGAATCAAATTGAGAGATAAAATAAGTTTATACTGATCTGACCCAGACCTTTGATGCTGTGTACCGCTTATTTTCAAGCACTTGCTTTTCTTGCTTTTCCTTTTCTAATACAATGTTTAGCCAGAGTTGAACTCTGCAATTGGCAGAATTAACATTCAGCAACCTATCTGTCTGGATGAAGTTATCTAAGGAACATGTTCAGTCCATGGTCTTAACGACAACAAAGGATGACATCTGATGGCAAGTAGATGGTTATGACAATCTCTGTACAGTTACAGGCCTTTAAAATAAGGGCATTCGTATTTTGAATTAACTGATGCCTGGAATTCTGTTCCAAAGAAAGAATTAAAATGATAAGTTTGAATTCCTGTCCTTAACCACAAGAATTCTCTTCGGCCCAATTACAGATGGTCTGTTGTTAGCTATGTCACAGCGTCATTTGTGTTATAGCAACAAGGACTAGCAATGTCAGCACAGTCACTTTTGAAAGAATTGTTCTGATTTTTTGTTATCCTTCCATTCAGCAAGACTGAAAGGAGTGCAAAATACTAAATACTAAACATTTTAAAATTTGCTGAGTTCCGAGATGATATTTGTTAGTGATGTCTGTTTATGTTTAAAGGAGAAATTTGATTTCAGTATCTAGATTGATGTGGAATGTTTCTCTCCATTTTGCTTCTGGAAGCAGTTTGTAACTGCTCGTTAATGTAGCAATCTCTTATATCTATCCATCACTATGGCATGATTTGTGTCTAAGCACAAGCTTGGATGGTCACTCACTGTTGACTCAATTGTAGTTCTAGCATTCACAGTATATTTAAAGGGCAGCAACACTCATGTCATCTGCCACTCAAAGATGAGTAACTTGTCTTTAGTAAGTAAGGAAGTTGTTTGTGGACTGCTTAGTGTCTTAAGACACAGAGAAATCTACATGTTGTATTCTTCTTCCTGCACTGAGGCAATATTTCTTCAGTTTTCACAGTAGGTATAATTCATATTTGATATTTGTATTTGTTCTTTCTTTAATACATTGTCTAAAAACAAAAGAGTTTTTTGAGGGCATAAAAGGAAGTACTGGTCTAAAACAAAATAAATAATAGAAGTGTGGTCTTTTTTTATTATTATTTCCTTTAGATTTTTGGTGTTGAAAAAAGCGATTGATTTAGTAGATAAATTATTAAATTCACACCTCTGAGGCAAGTGTAAAATAAACTGAGAAAAAATAATTGCTGCTGTAAGTATATTTTTAAAAGGATTGTACTGTATGATTGACAGAATGCTTTATAACCAAATGAATTACAACTGTGCTATTTTGATAGTTGGTAACCTTGAATTGCTGATTTTTTAACTGTAAAGTTTTCCCTGGGAAAGTCGGGAACAGAGGATTCTCAAAACGTATGTCAGATTGCTATGAATAATTTTATTAGCATTTAGTGAGACCAGTTTTTCTGTAAAGCAGCTACTCCTTTTCCCCCAAAGGATGAAACCAGAAACTAACAACAAAGGAAAATTTGTTCTCTGTATCTGCCAGTGCATCCACAACTATAATAAATTTTGGTACTTGTGAAAGTCACAGCAAAACCACACCCATATGAGGCACGGGAGAGCCAGAAGAACCGAAAGAGTTTCATTAACTGCTTGGCCTCTATGTGTTTTCAGGTTTGCGATTTTCATCTGGCTGATGCTGTATTGCTGTGATCAGAGACAGTGCCATATGCTGGATCTTCTGGCAGAAGCTAGGATATGACAGCAATTACATCTTGGCACTCTTTAGAGAGAAACTTAGGAAATTATGAGTCAAGTTTCACTCTGCCAGTAGGCCCAGAGGTATCTGCTAGGGCCCACACAGTAGCTGGAGAAGTTGCATGGCAGAAAATGTATTAGATGGTGTATTTCTTCTGAAAGCTGCTGGTTGTCTCCTGTGGATCTCAACCTGGTACTACATTCCCTCTTCCCCTTTCCCCAGGGGCTCACTAGGAAATTCATGGTAAGTATTGCCTCGTCAAGCTGCTGGCCTCTAGACAGCAGAAGAGAAACAAAAAATGACCTCTCAGTATCAATTCTAGGACATTAATCCTTGTATCTGACCTCACAGGCTGCTGTCAATTTGGTTTGGAGCAGCAGAGTGAAATGGCTGTAGCTTTGTCAACGGGGTTACTTGTTTGAGATGCGGTGTGCATAATCACGTGTTGAAGGCTGAATCTGTAAAGAGAGCAAATGAAATTTGCTTAAAGTGAATTGATGGCCAGTGAGATGAATGGCTTACATACTTTGTTACCATCTCTACAGTGTTCTAGGATATGGCTCACTTTGACCACAGCTCTGCTGGTAAGCCTTCAGGATGCTGGGCAGGAGAATGGTATTTTGACAAATAATATGTAACTTCATTTTAAATTATTAGTGAAAAAGACCCCTTTTCAGGAAATATGCATCATATTATCTTTTAAGTGGTAACATAAATAATGCATAAAGTTAATGAAATCACAGAAAGCTGTTAGATCAAAAAAGAAAAAAGAAAAAAAAAGCAGAAAGAAAGAAAGCAGAGCATTTGGGAAAAATTGTCACTGAACTTCAGAGATAAGGTATTCCCTTTCAGTACCACATTTCCCATAAACCACTTTCATGTCACACTTCTGTTGGGTCTGTATATGCAATTGCTCATATGCTGTAATATTGTGTTTCAATTCTGATGTTTCCTTTAACAGCACACTTTACTTGTCAAAAAAGCCCTACTGAAAGGATCTTGACAGATTTGCTGTGCATGCTTTTAAACTTATTGCTGTGTTTTCTTTATGTTCTCAGCCACTAATATGCACCTGATCTTTTGTCTCTGTATCACCAGGCCTCCTGAACCTGTTTACAGCACTGTGAACAAACTGTGTGATAAACCACCTTCTCCTAGGCACTATTCCCCTGTCGAGTGTGACAAAAACTTCCTTCTTACAGCTCCCTATCCCCACTACCACATAGGCCTGCTCCCTGACTCTGAGATCACCAGGTACTGCATGCGCTTCTTCCTCACCTCCTTCGTTAGAGTGCATGAACATCGCTAGGTTTATCTCATAGTTTGCACCTTCACCATAGATCTTTTTCTACAGCTTGTGCTTATTTTTAACCACGCTTTCACATTTGCACCACTGGAAGATATATGCTATTTTGGTATATAATTTTGGTCATCCAAAATCCAGTGATGATTACAGGCAATGTTTTAATCCATTGGAATGGTGCTCTAAAATAGGCTGTGTCATATCTATCACATTTTACAGCTTAATTCAGTATACATTGTTCTGTAATTATGTAAAATGACTAAGATTTCACTGAAAGCTGTAGTAATTTAGTTGGAATTCAGTCATTTTGTTTCTGTGTTGTGCATAGTTTTTTTACTATCTTTGGATTTATAGAATAGCTGCCTAAGCCTCTGAAAGAAAATGAGCACACACAAAAAAAATAAAATAAAAACAAAATAAACAAACCCACCTCACCAAGTCATAGCTGAGAGTATGTTTAAAATTTAGCAATTTATAGGCTAGCTGTGCTCTTAGAATACAGTGAGTAAAACCTACAATAATGAACATTTCAGTTATTGAAAAAATTGGAAGGCATTGCTATAAAATAGCCAGTGATTACCTTCAAGAAAAAGGTTTAAAAAAAAGTTAAGAAATAAATTACACTGTTCAAAACTGTATGCTAGTATAACTTAGTGAGGTATTCTTCTGTAGCTTATTAAACTATTTATAAACAGGATCTAGGAGACAAGAGTTAGGCACAAGTTTTCAAGTAGGTATTGTGTGCTTCCTTTGTCAGGATAATAAATGGAAAAAACCTTTTATATTCTACAGCAGAAGAAAAAATAATTGTATTTGAAACTTTGATCATAGACATTTATCACAAATATATATATATATATATACTTTTCAAAGAGAAGAGAACCGTGGGAAGAAGAGAGCATAAGTTTGTAAGTGGAAAATAAAATGATAAATTAATGTAAGATATAATAACAGGAAAGAAACCTTGGAGATTAGAAAAACATCTGTGAAAGGCATTGCAGTACTATAAAATAGAAAGATAAATTAAAAAAAAAAAAACAAGACTTGCTAGTGATGAATGCAGCAGATGTGGTGGGACTTTACAGAAGCTGTTGGTTTCTTATGATGAAAACTGTGTGGCTTCTAGAATTTGTAAAATGCTTAATCACTGCACAAAGTGATTAGTCCAGCTGTTGAGACCAGTGCAAAAATAGTTAAAAAACATTCATAAGGACAACATTTTATAAAGGTGCTAAGCACTAATAGATCTGTCCACAATATCTAAATGTCTCTGCAGATACTATTGTGAAGGAAGATCAAAAAGTAGTAAAATGACCTCAGGTCTTTAGGTACACAAGTAGTTTGTCTGCAATATCATAATGTTTCTGAGTGTTTAGAGACAGACAACAGAAGAGATCATTATAAAAGTATTCCTAATCAACAGCAGTCATTTTAAAAAGAAAAAAGAAAAAACACCTGAACTCAAAAGCGGAACTAGTGGCTTCTAGGGGAATTTGCTACCATGTAAATGGAGTTTGTTAATCATAGACAAGTGCAATTCCTTGCCCAGTAAGTTATCTCTATAGTTAGGACTATCAGATCTATGGGGTTAGCATAGGGAAAAAAGTTTGTTAAAGGTTATCGCCTGCTGACCACCTACACCAATAATCAGGGAAGCCCTGGAGAGCAGATCTGGGCCATTTGTGCTGCTAGTAATTCTCTACATCCTTTTGTTTTAGTGTGTGATTGAACACTCACTTGGTCATCAGACATTTGATGATCTGACATCAGGACTTAAAAAACAGAGGTTTGTTCAACTGTCAGCTAACAGTTCTCCTTAATAACAAGGTTTTATTTCTCATCATTCCAGTTCAACATAAAATTAAGCCCTATTCCCTATACATTTAACCAGTTTCAGTATTCCAACAAAAACTGCAGAGAGATAACAAAAAGATGAGAAAAGACACAACTCATGGTTTAATGCTCTGCAATATGCTTTGCTACATGCTGTGACAGAGGCGACTGATTGCTATCATTTATTCTTCCTTCCCACTGTGCAATTACATCTAGATTGGAAATATGACCATTTTTGATATTCGCAAATGCTGTCATTTTTTCCCCTGGGCTCTTTGAATGACCATGGAGGAAGCCATTCTAAATATTTTTCACCAATATGCCTTTGGTGACGAAAGAGACAGCATTATGAGGTATACCATAATCCAATCTCCAAAACAGACTCAGTATTTACATTTGGATGCTGTGTAATAGGGAAGTATTAAGCTCATTTTAAACCCAATAGAAGTGGCTATGTTTTAAAAGTGTTCATTGTGCACAGCCCTAAATTTCAGAAAAGTACTGTTGTCTAATGGGATGTGATGTGTTGAATCCATATAAAGACCTTCTTCTAAATCTGCAGCTGTGCTACCACTATGTCTATTGAAAACTGTTCTACCAAAGAAAATCCTCCAAATATCACCCAAGTATCTTTAAAGATCTGCATTTGTCTACCTAAATTCCACAAAGCCCTGTTTCTCCGGGTTATTTACTTTCTTGCTCTCCAGTCAAATGTGAAGAGTTCTTGGTCTTCTTGCAGGCTTCCTTGACATAGTTTTTCATTAGAATTTGTCAGCCCTAGGCTTGTGGAGGAAGTTGCAGGGATTGTTTGCTTGTTTTGGTAACTGCAGTCATTGTCATATCTCTGTGTTCCAATACTGAGAATCTGCTGGTGAACTTCAAATCATTTGATTTGAAAAATAACTCTTCCAGAGGAAGAGGAACGTGATGTCTTGTTCTCCCAACTTAAATGCTTGTAAGCCAGCCAACTCCTTTCAAATTGCTGCTCCAGATAATTTGTCAGCCACTCCTCAGATGATCACTTTGTCAAGGCTCATTAACTTAATAGGCAAAGAGAATTCATAGGCCAAAGCTTTATTTGTCTATAATAAATTTGAGTTTATAACCTTTGCTTTAATGGTGATCTGTCTGGGTCTCTGTGTAGCTTAGCAGTCTAGGAGAATATACTCCAATTTTAGGATGAAAGTAGTTTGGTTTTGATCAGTTAATGTAAATTGACATTAGCAATTCTATGTTGATGTACAACAGCTGAAAATATGTCCCATCAAAGGCAGAAGTAGAGAGAGAATTTTGGAGCAGTAAGCTTTCCTCTAAGAGAACCAAGTGGGAATGGAGAAGGATATTCATACTCTCTCAAAATTATTGACAATACACATAATTATTGACAATTATGTGTATAATTAGATTATTGACAGCCAAAAAAATTGCAGCTCGTGGGGTAGCAGAGTTTCTACAAATAAGAGTTTCTGCGCTATGTAACATAAAATGTTGTGTTTGTGGTCTTAGTCCTGAGAAATTCTTTGCATTTGCCACAAGACACACTTCAGTTCTGTACAGAATTGACTTCCCTGTCTTCAGTGAATTCCTCTTGGCACTCAAGTTACTAGCACAGTTTTTGTTAAAACTAGCTCCAATATTGTTGATTTGTATTTGTTTTTGTTGTTTGTTTGTTTTCATTTTCAATAGGTATTTAGTTTTCTCTTCGGCTGTTGATCTGTGATGGCATCAGTATTTTTTAATGCATGTAGTGGAAGGAACCATGCTTTCTTGTCATGGGAGAAAAGCAAGAGAGCATCCCTGAAAAATAAAAATACGGGAAAATTTTATTCATCTTATGTATGACTTTTTTGGATGTTGAGATTCTCCTTATAGGGCTTATCCTACTTATGGGGCTCGGTGACTGGAAAATATTTGGCTTACGTTTAGAACCAATTTCTTGAAGTTTCCTGAAACCCGGATCAGTTCTCACTAACACTGATTTGCTGTCTTTGACAGTTAAAGATTTTTTGCTTTGTTTTCCCAGCCTATGAAAGGGTCTTAACAATGATCACACAGAGCTTCTCTGAGCTATCTATGACAGTTTCATTCTATTATTAACAGCAGTTTGTGTTACTGCATAATAACACAGTGAATGATTTTAAGATATTTGATGAATTAATGTCATCATTTCTTGGAACTCCACTACTTTTTCACCAATGAGGATTAGGAAGAGAGAATAATATTGGTACGTGGATCTAGAGCAAAGCCTTTTAAAGAAAACATGCTATTTTCATTGGTATTCAGGGGTGACTCAGCATCAAACAATTCAGAAAAGCAATACGTATAAGTGTGCTGAAGTGTCTACACATGGAGTGGATATGGGTAAGGTGCCTGTAACATCCATTACCTTAATGATTGACATGTGGAGCTGCTTCTGATATGTTCCCACGTCCTCCACATAAGCACACAAGGGTCACTACATTGAGTAGCCTCTGCACTCAGACTAGTGCATGCCTGCAGTGCTAAGCACTGCTGCTTATGGTCATTTCATTATAGGGACCCCTGGGATCCCTCTGCAATGAAGGAACAGCTGAGAAGATGCCAATTGCTTTTTACTGATCGTGGCAAGAAGCTATTTCAAAATGGGAGTGAATGGTGGGCTTCTTTTATGCCCACTGCAATTGCATCGTGGATTTTTTTTCACAGTAACCAGGGTGCTTTCACACCAGTGACTCCACCACACTCCTCTCTCAGCCCTCCTCCACAGAACAAGGGAAGAGAATTGTAATGAAAGAAAAGTTCATGGGTTGAGATCACTCACCAATTACTGCCACGGGCGAAACAGACTTAGCATAGGGACACTTAGAAGAGGGAGATTAATGTAATTTATTGCTTGTTGATAGCAGACTAGAGCAATGGGAAATGCAGGGGGAAAACCTGCTCCACCGTGGGCCTCTCCAGGGCCACAGGGAGCTGCTGCTCCATGTCTGGAGCACCTCCTGCCCTCTTTCTGCAATGACCTGCACCAGGTCCCTTTTGGAATCTCAGTCCTCCACTACCAAAACCGTGCCATGTAAGCCCAACATAATAGCTCACTGGGAACAAGCTTACTGTCAAAATGATGCATATAGCTGTTCTT